GACTTTGGCGGGATGAAATTTCAACCTAATGAACAACTTCGCAAACAAATGGATATTGGTGTAGGACTGCTGCAATCATTCAAAAGAGCCGACGCAAACAACAGCTCGGTTGAACCAAACTCCCTGAAAGTGGGAAGAACATTTGAAGCTATGGGAAAAGGCAACAGTTTAACAGTGACACTTAGAACTTATAAAGGTGAACTTTGTGACCCGCCACTGGATGACGTTACAGTACACATCACTCCTGAAGATGACGTGACAATTGAAGAGAAAGAAGCGACTGCTGACGGCAAGATCAAAGTAATCTTCACTCCTCGTGTTCCTGGTCAGTTGACAGCAGAGGTTCAAGTACATGGAAATCCTGTATCCAACAGTCCACTAGTGATGGATGTCAAACCACAACACATTAAGGAAATGACTACAAATCCAAAGCTGAAAAACGCCTTGAATACTGGTTCAAAGAAATTTAGAGGTATTGCAGTGAACAAAACCAACACTAAGATTGCTGTAGCAGCCTGGAAGGATTGTTGCGTCAGAGTGTTCAACATGGATGGGGATTTGTTACTGTCATATGGGAGTGGAGACAGTGGACGAGGAAAGTTAAACAATCCACAGGGTTTAGCATTCCTCAGCGAAACAGATTTAGTCATAGCTGATTCCTATAATGATAGAATATGCATAGTGGACACAACATCTGGTGCACTAGTAAAAACCTTTGGTTGTCAAGGCAACATGGATGGGCAGTTCAAAAACCCACGTGGAGTACATGTTGATGATGATTCTAACATCATTGTGTGTGATCGTGACAATCATCGTGTTCAAGTGTTCACAAAGAATGGTGAATATCTATATCGGTTTACAATACCAGGAGAAAAGAAGCCATATGATGTAGTTAAACACAATGGACTGTTCTACGTCAGTGCTGATATCTCAGTGGTACACGTGATTGAGATGAAAGACAATCAGTCACCAACTACAGTAAACACTATTGGTGGGGAGGACTACACAGATGGTCGGCTCGAGGACTCTTCTGGTCTAGCTATTGACAATGACAACAATCTTCTAGTTTGTGATTATAACTCAAAAAACATTTATAAGTTTAGTCTGGATGGTCATCATGTTGGAAAGTCAAACGACCTAAATTATAGACCTCAATTCATAGCAGTACTGAATAATGGACAGATTCTTTGTACTACACCTGAAAAAGGTGTTACCTTTTCTTAGGTAGATTCAAAGCTGTAATGAAGTTGCATTGCTGCTTTAGAGTGGAAGCACTTTATCCATGAACCAAATAGTACTAATTACTACTTATAAAATTAGGCAATATTCAAAAACAAAAGATTGAATCGCGCATAAATTAGTACTATTTTGAAATACATAAGTTTCATGGATAAGCGAAACATCAAGTTTCCATCGGCAACTATCACAGCATAATGCCTTCATTCAATTACTTAGTCCTCTAATTAGAGACAATGCACTTAAAGTAAGGACATTCAACCCGCCAAACAAAATTTAAAAAAACAAAACAAAAACAAAACAAAGTGTGATAGTCAAATGGACACAAAAGAAAACAATGAAATTAGAGCGTACTAAGTTTTATTAGTGTAAAATCTATTCTGTGAAACTTTAATAGAACAGAACTCCACACTCTAAACAAAATGCGAATTTGTAAAACAACAATAATGTAATTTTATCTATCAATTCAAAATCATGTATCAAGGTCGTCATGTATCATGTATCCGTCTTATGCCGTCTTTTTTGTTACCTATCCTGGATAATCCTCCTATCAATCTACCCAAGAATCTTTGCGCGATTTTGTCACATGCGAAAATCCTTCATTTTTGATTTTGAACCAATCACAAAGCACCTTTCAACAAGAGATCAGTTGTAAAACAAAAGCAACGATCTCAAAGATTATTGGATGCACGCGGGCCTTATACATTCTGAAAGTTAAATATTGGTAGAAATGGTAGAAATTGGTAGAAATGTTTTTGAATGCAAACCATACGCGAGCGTGACTGAAGGTATTAAACCACGACGAACATGTCAATACGGGTTTTACATTCCATGTACTATACGCATTGACACAAAAAGAGTATAAATCAGTTTTCCACTAATAGAAAACCACTGACCACTAAAAGCGTTGCACTCACACGGTAATTTTAGCTTGATGACTCATGACGTTACATGTCCCTTCCTTCTCTTTAATGTAGGAAAGTGCCTGAGAATAATAACGAATCTTTTAGTTTCACAAATACACATAACTATTTCAAAAAATGTTGGCGAATGTCCTATGGCCGTACGGCGATTGCACGACCGAAAGTAGCCTTGCGTTTTATTAGTTCGAATGCAATACTGGACAACTGATTTGTACTCTTGTAAGATGTCTGTGGTAAACATTGTCTCCATTTAGTCTCCATTACTATGTAAGGTGAATGCAATAATTGAAATTGTGTTTATCAAAACAGTGTAACCATAGTTCCTTTTGGTCGTGTAATCTCCCTTTGACAATCGCCGTTCGCCGTTCTCCTCCACAACGTTTTTGAAATAGCTGTATATAAAATTAGATGGATCGATATCGTACAATATCCACATTAATAAGACTTTTTTTGTAAACGCAGATAAATGACTGTGCGAATAGCAATATCTATAGTAAACAAAGAAAGAATACAGCAAAAGACTCTTGTATTCGTCTATTTCGTATACACCATTAGGTGTATCATTTCCAATGTACACAATATAAAGACTCAGTAAAACAAGAAATCTATCATTGTACGTGTCATTATCACTATCATTAAGATATCATTGTCCTTGTCATTAGCCCTACCAAGAACATGAGCAATGGGTGGCTCAGGTAATTTCCTAACAAAACTGTGCACACTTTTTCACTTTTTAGTACAGGTCTACTATTTACTACCGAACTATATTTTGCATTAATTTCTAAGTCTGTATTTTTCTCGTATTTAGGCAGAACACTCAGTACTGTATGACAATTGCTACAAAGGCGATAAGCTTGATCGTGTTCACACTGCAAGATAGACTTCTACTATTCCAGATATCCTTTTTAAATGCTTATCAATGAAATTACAAGAGCCTAGAGAAGGTAGACTGCATGTCTAATATCGCTTTTTCTAAATGTCCATAGATATGTCAGTAAAACAGACTTCAAGATGACTGTTATCTGAATCACTGACAATTACTTGAACCTCTCTAATCCACGAACAACTCTGACTTCATTCGAATTCTTCGTATCATCGTATCATCTGGGGGGAATTTCAACAGCCTCAAGTTTCATGTTAAATTTTCTCATCGAATCGTTTCTTGAATAATTTTAATAAATTATTAGCCATACTTGAGCTACACTTCAAGAAATTCTCAAAGTTCAACAAGCGATTTCAGCATAACATTTTTCTCAAAGAAAATGCTAATCGAGGTCTTTCTGGAATAATTAATTATTAACTGCATGTGTTCCAACTTTGAGAAATACTTTGAAGTACGAGCAAAAGATCAAGTTGTTTATAAGAGATGAATAAGTGCGGACAGCTGACGGTCAGATCGAAGTAACTTTTACAAGTCTCATCCCTGGTCAGTTGACAGCAGATGCTCAGTACAAACAGTCCACTAGTGATGGATGTCAAACCACAACACTTCAAGGAAGTGACCACAAAGTCAAAGCTCAAAAACGCCTTGAATACAGGATCACAGGACTTTGCAGGTATTGCAGTGAACTCAACACTAAGATTGCTGTAGCACACAAACATACAAACTGTGTCAGAGTGTTCAAAAGAGCAGAATTATTAATAATACAAAATAATTACTCCAAAATGGAAAATGCTTTCTTGCATACATGATATCAGCCAGACACCAATGTCAGATTGCATGACAAGAAGTCATTACAATTGCGTGACTAGTTCCCGGAAAAAATGAAGTTGTTTGATTTATAAGGGATGAATAAGTGCGGACAGCTGAAGGCCAGATCGAAGTAACTCTTACACCTCTTATCCCTGGTCAGTTGACAGCAAATGCTCAGTACAAACAGTCCACTAGTGATGGATGTCAAACCACAACACTTCAAGGAAATGACCACAAAGTCAAAGCTCAAAAACGCCTTGAATACTCGATCAAAGGACTTTGCAGGTATTGCAGTGAACTCAACACTAAGATTGCTGTGTAGCACACAAACATACAAACTGTGTCAGTGTGTTCAAAAGAACAGCATTATTACACGAAAGTTTGGCTTCGGTACATCTTCGTAGCCAATCACATTGTGAATTATATATCCGGTAGCCAATCACATTACGTTGTGTATTCCGAACGCTGTCGATAATCCCGTTCGCAACATTTCCAACTCGTTCTGCACAATGTTTTATCCGCCATTTTGATGAATATTGTCTCTACTAACGAATATGGAACAGAACATGAAGGTTTACGACCAAAATCTGGAACTCATTACTTGTCTGGGTGTTCGGACCAAGGGTATGTTGAATTGTGATGACGAGGAGATCTCACTACAGAGATCAACACGCTTACTACTCGTGAAGCAACGGCAACGATTATAATGATTGGATGTCAATACAACTCTTTAGAAAATGCTTATTAATTCCATGGCTATTCAAACATCTGCAATAGATATGTCGAGTTTTAATGTAGATGTGCAAAAATATTGTGTTACTATCATATCAAAAGTTAATAAAGCGTCACGTTGTAACCAAATCATGCCTAGTTATATATCTCCGGGTATATCTGACCTTAAAATTATACTGCAGAATCACAAAGGCAGTTACAGCTGAAATTTTAAGAGCCACCACATATAAGCTTATCGCAAAAATCACATATATCTTGGCAAGGCTCGATGGATCAAATCATTTCTTTATTTTGTATCAGTAAGGTTTAAGGCCTCATTTACTAATGATCTCACAACATCATGCACAACAAAGGGTACGTGTCAACCCTGCATACAGGGTCTAGTTAATAATACAAAATAATTACTCCAAAATGGAAAATGCTTTCTTGCATACATGATATCAGCCAGACACCAATGTCAGATTGCATGACAAGAATTAAGTCATTACAATTGCGTGACTAGTTCCCGGAAAAGATTTTCAACATCACGTGTTCTTCCAAGAAACCGCTAATCGAGTCGTTTCTTATGATATCGAGAGAAGATTTTTATGAATTGAAACAAAAAATGGAGTTATTTCTCGAGGATCTAAAGCTTCAAGTCCAGTGTTCTCTGTGCAAAGAGACAATGGTTGAACCCAAGTTATTACAATGCTTTCATACATTCTGTAAGACTTGTATCAAGACAAATGCACAACTTGATGGTCAAGTCAACATCTTCAAGTGTCCTCAGTGTGACTCATTAACCGAGCTCAAAGAACTCAACGACGTGGAAGACTTAGAGATGAGTCCAATACACTCAAAAATCGTTCACGTCTTGTCATTTGTTGAGAACCAGAAGGTTTGCTCAGTTTCTGCCAGCCATAGTGATGCATTGTGGCAATGTCTTGACTGTGATCGGTCGCTGTGTGACGAATGTCTAAACAGTCATTCTATATTCACTAAAGATCACAAAGTTGTTGCATTGTCTGAGATGACAAATGAAGACATCAAGGCTATGCTTAACAAAGAAAGTCCTTGCAAAACACACGCCAACCAAGATGTTGAATGGCACTGTCGAGACTGCGACGAGCTGATCTGTGTGGTTTGCTTGAGAGATCACCATCACAATGACCACAAGATAACATCACTACAGGAGTTCATCACTGCCAANCTGACTTGACCAATCCATGTACGGGGTGTTTGGCTGAAGTTTTTCCGCCATTTCTTTTACAATTTCAACGACCGATGACTTATTTTAAGGCTGGATTCAACTCGTTTTCTGACACCATGTTATAGACCGTAACGACAAGACGCCATGTTGGCACAAACACACTTTATTGGACCCAGGCCCTGCCGTGACACAGGAAACCCATACAATACATGACAGACTACACAGATGGTCGGCTACAAAATCCTTGGGGTCTGGCTATTGACAGTGACCACAATCTTCTGGTGTGTGATCATGATTCAAACGAAGTCTACAAGTTTACATTGGATGGTTGTTTTGTAGGAAAGACAAGTAAATTAGATTACAAACCTAACTTATAGCCCTTATAATTTGTTACTCCTTTGTAACGTAACCCGACTGCACGCTCGATGAGTGTCTGACGTTCTTCTCAAAGAAAAAGCTAATCGAGGACCTAATCGAGCTGATTCTAGAATAATTTGTTATTAACTTTGTTTCAACAACTTTTTTTGAAATTCTTTAAGATACACTTTGGGTCTAAATATTCTAAAAGTTTATAAGAAACAGTTCGACAGTTACAAAATAAAGACAAAAAGTATTCTTTTCTCATACAAAAAAAAAAAAACGACACGTCACTACAAGTCCGTGACATGTTCCCGGAAAAGATTCAACATCACGTGTTCTTCCA